CCATTTCTATATTTTTTTCTCTATTTTAAAATACATTATTATATAACTACTAAAAAAAAGTAGAACCTAAAATATATTTATTTTTATATCTCAGAAATCTCTATTTTGATACATTTTGGGAGATGCTCTAAATAATCTTGTCAAGAGTGAATTTTAAAACAGCTATATTATACCCTAAAACAGCTATTATACCCTAGAATTTGAATTTTAAATTGAAAAAAGTAATATTTTTAATAAAAATAACAGAAAAGTGATGGACAAAATACCTTTCCAATCTTGACAATGCTTCCGTTAACGACGTCCCTCCCCACCATTCCCCTACACCGGCGACACTACTAGTACCTCTACACCTGTCCTATACATATGGATTTTCTTATGTTCTTTTTACCACCAAAACTTGACTTGCTATAGTAATTTACTCATTTTTATTACACATGGTTTATTTATTTATTTATTTTTGCAAACAACACCTTATTTATGTTATCCAAACCTTTTAAAAAAAAAAAAAAAAAAAACTTAGGTTTTTGAAACTTTCTTGAAAGAAAGAAAAAAATTGTAGGTTTCATTCCAAAACTTTCCGTCCAGATGCGTCTGGTAATGAAAGGAAAGAAATTAAAACTCTTTAAAAAAATTATTAAAATTATAAAACTAGGCATTAGGGCTGTAAACGAATCAAACGAAGACTTGTTTATGTTCGTTCGTTTGTTTAGAAATCAGGTGTGTTCGTGTTCGTTCATTAACATGTTAAACGAACGGGTTAAACGAACATAAATAAATATTATTTGAATTCAAAGTAAATAAATAAAAGATTATATATTAAATTTGATATATAAACGAACAAATATAAACATCATAAACGAACGGTAAATGAATGAACGAGACTCTTGTTCATGTTCTTTCGTTTAACTAAATGAACAAAAAAAATTGTTTACGTTCGTTCATTTATTAAATAAACAAACTTCCCGCAGAACAATTCACGAATAATTTGTTAAACGTTCAGTTCGTTTACAGTCCTACTATGCATCATTTCGTAACAAATATTCAAATAACATATTTTAAATGGTATATTTATACCATATTTCCTTTACTTTCTCTCTTAGTTAAAAACATGATTTTTTTTTCCTTTTTCTCTTTCTTCATTTTACTTTCTTTTTGATAACATAAATGTTGTCATTTAAATTAAAGTATTTAATTAATAAATTTGGGATTTGGCACTTCTCAACCAACTTTCTTGATCGAAATGTGTTTGCGAGGTCATGTTTATTTCACGTTCCAAAAAAAAAACCCCACTTTCTAATCGACTTTCTTAATCGAGCTTCAAACTCCGATGATGGTCTGGTTAAAGAAATGGCTTCTCGGCTCGTAAAAATCGCATTGGATTGTGAATCAAGAAGATAAGACGATAAAGAAAGTGAGCAAGACAAGATCAAATAAGATCTGGATTGATTTGATTTTTGATTTTGTTACCATAAATGGGTTTGTGTTGTTGGTTTTATTTTTCAAATATGGGCTTGTATTGTCATTTTCTTCTTAAAAAATAGGTTTGTGTTGATTTTGTTTAGGGATGGTGATTTACCCGACCTGGTGGGGAACCCGGTTCACCCGACCCGAATAGGGATGGGGATTCCCCGCTAAAACGGGTCCCAGGGTCGAGGAGACTCAAATCGGGGATGAGGGATGTTACTCAAACCGGGGCCGGGGGACGTTACTACAAACCGGGGCCGAGGCTAGGAATTACAAATCCCGTCTCATCCCCTCCCCGTTGTCATGCCTAATTTTGTTCTTCAATTATTTTTTTCTACGTTTCAGTATTTGTTTTTGTTCAATTTTGTATGTGGTTCTTGACTTTTTGGGTTTGTCTTTTGTTCATGGTAATCCGGAAAGAGATTGGAGAGAGAGAGAGAGAGAGTAAGTTTCTTGATTTTTAGAAATTGACAGATCAGGTTCTTGAAGCAATTAAGAGTTTCATAACACTAGTAACGGAGGTTTTAAAAGGGCCGTTAAATGAGGGACCTAATCTATAACAAAAACGAAAGCATAATGACCATCTTTGTAATTATTTCAATTTAGTGATCCAATCCAAAATTTCACCAAACTACAGGGATGAAATTTGTAATTTCTCTAATTTTTATGTATAATTATAACAAAATAAGAGCATCTTCAATTCAATGGTAGTAAAGCATCTTCAATGTTAGTTCTTTTAAGAACCTCTTTTTGTTCTTATAAGAATCTTATTTTTATATTTTTGGTTGTTATCTCATTCCAACTCATCAAATTAAGAATTTACATAAAAGTACACAATGTTACTTCTTATAAGAACCTTGTTTTTGTGGGTTAAGTGTATTTATTCAACATCTATAATTATTATATATAATATTAATTAGTTATAAAGTCAATAAAATATATAAAGAAATAGGAAATTATCATTTCACACAAAAATTAATGGTAAAAACCAAGATTCTCGATTTTAATGTTTCGTTTTATTTTTTGTCTTTGTCGATGTTATAATACAGTTTTATGTGGTTTTAAGAAATCGATAATGTTTTTATTTTTAAATAAAATATAAATTTAAAGACATAGTTTAGAATATATATATATATATATATATATATA